CGACAGCAGCGGCGATCGCCGCGATCGTCGGTGCATGGCAGAGCGCGCCCCAACGATATTACGTGCGCTCCGAAGGCTTTTGGGGGTAAGCGACTCAATTTCATGCTTTTTTCCTTTAACTACAATTTCCTTAGGTACTGAAGCTTGGTTTGACTCAAGGAAAGGTGAACCCAGCTTAATTGCTTTTGTTTTCTATTTTCTTTCTTGATTCAGGATAGAAATGAGCAAAAAGCGTGATAGCTTCATTTAAGGTAGGTTTTTATTGTTTCTTTTTTCATTCGTCGAGCTTATACATGAGGTTATAAAGTTTTCACCTGTTGATGTTGCGTAAAATGATTAGTGTTTTGGTTCCTAGGTGAGTTTCTTTCTGTTTCTTTTCGTTGTTTGAACTCGACTTGTAAACTATAAATGTTTTGGAAGTTGGAACAGTTCAGACGATAGGAACTTTTAAGGCGCTTGTATAAATCGAAACGATAAAAACAACAAGAAACAAAAAAAGCTCACCCAAGGGAAAGAGCTGTCCTTATCCCGACCTAAAAAGAAGTGAAACCTTCTTACCTCATGTTCCAGATCTGCTTATGCATAGAAAGTCGTAACTTATCAGTTAGTAGCCATTATTAAGAGTAAAGAAGGTCTCACAAGTTGGATTCCCTTATTTATCAGGCGAGCGGTCATAATAGCGTTGGGGCGCGCTCTGCCACGTAACAACGAAAAAAAGAAACAGAAAGAAACTCACCTAGGAACCAAAACACTAATCATTTTACGCAACATCAACAGGTGAAAACTTTATAACCTCATGTATAAGCTCGACGAATGAAAAAAGAAACAATAAAAACCTACCTAAATGAAGTTATCACGATCGCCGCTGCTGTCGCGAACTATGAACGCTGCCTTAGGAGCGCCCATTTTGATTACGCGAAGGCGAAGCTGCACAATAAATCAGCCAAACTACGGGCAAGAACAAGCCCTTCGGGTCCGCACCCCAGTTCTCGCATTGGGGATTATTCTTCTTGGGATGATTCTATTCGAGGAGGCTCTTGCTAATCGGAGATGGTCCACACACTTGCTGCTCCATTGCTCTCAATTCCGATTCTATTCGCACGATGGACGCAGTCCGACTTGGTGGGGGCATTCCAGAGGTTTCATCATTGCCGATGCCTCATGCGATGACCTAAGCGTTTCTGTGAGCCTGTGCACTTGCACACAACGATGCTGTACCCTGGATGTGGGTGCGTGAAGTAGGCTACCAATTTTGCAGCGGTTCTCTCTGTGGCTCAACAAACGATCCGGGAGTTACGATAGTGATTAAGCCCCACCCGATACATACCTCTGGGTTGTTTGTGAAGCACGAGAAACGCTGTACAGAGAAATCCTGAAACTCAACACAGCGCTCTAGTGTCTGCATTATGATTGTGCTCTCAGTGAGCAGAAGGAGATGCTAAACCTTGGAGACATTGTCTGACGCCTTTCTCTACAGAAAGTCATAGAAAAAGTGGTAACTCTAGATGGATAGTTCTTGTAGATTTGTGGCTGTGGACGTCGAGTGAATAAAAAAAATAGTAATAAAGAGTTATCAAAAAACAGACAAAGGGTGCAGTTCGGCGACGGGAGGCATTTTGTACTTCGTTGCTTCACTAGTTCCAGTTTACAAGTCTCACTCTGGTGAAACCTGTAAACTCTTGTGAAGCTGGAGCAAGGTTTTCAAGCCATCATGGTAAAAAGAATAGGTTGTCTAGGTCGGCACGTGGCACGTTGATGGGAAGTATTAAAAGTGAAAAATGCCCCTTCTCCCCCCCCCCCCCGTCGCAGAACTGCTTCCAGACAGAGTGCTCTGAAGATTAAGAACCATCTAGAATTTCTTAACAGATGATACTTGCTAATGACCTCGGGGCTAGAATGTTACACGGCTTTCTACAAAACTTGAATTAACGTCATCCGAAAAATTACCGTATTCGGGTTCGTCCACCCACCCTGCATCTCCTTTACCTTTAGACTGAGGTGAAAGTCCTTATCTCCATATACTGGTTTTGCACAAAGATTCAAATGCCTTTTTCAAATTCGAATGCAAAATCAAATGCCCCATTATTAGGGTCAAAGACATTGTTAGCATGGCTAAAAAACTGATCCCAGCCAGGACTCGAACCTGGGTGTCAAAGCGTTCTAGCATGGTCTTCGGCTTCTCTCGGATGGTACAGCCGCTGCTCTCAGCGGGCCCATACGATCTCCTGTCGAGAACAGCTCAGTGAGGCTCGTGAATACTTGTCGCAACCATCTTTCGCGAAAGATGCCTGCGACAGGAATTCACCAGCCCTTCCTCGTCGCTCAAGTTTTTGCGCTTTATGGCAGTAATTGTCGTACTACTTACTGTGAGCTGGAAAAAGCTGTGGACTATGAGGGATCTTCAAAGATTGAAACGCAATTATGTCGTTCGGCAAGTTTTGTTGTTCCGGTTTGAATCAGCTCGGGACTGTAAAGGAGGTCACCTTCCGGCTCCCGTTTTTGGTCACGATCTTTCTCTTTGGTAAGTAGCTCTCTGCTGTAATAAGTACTCGAGCTGGCTGATCAGTGGAAGTGGTCTCAGTAAGAGACAAAACCTCATCATTAAGACCCGCTTCTTACCAGTTGTTCGCTGAGTAACAACTTGTAATGACACTGAATTTCTTTGTTCTCTGCAGTAACAACATTACATCCGCTTTTCAACAATGAAATTCGGTCAATACTGCCTAGGTTCAAACATTCAAGCTCTCAGAACAAGATCAAAATCTAATCCTCACGAGCAGCGTCATGTCGTCAAGGTTTCATAAATAGCGGCATCTAAAGACATCTAAACAGCGTGTTGAGAGCGGGCCATCACTCTTACTCTTATTCTCAACGGGGCTACAAAAGAGGAGGCTCACTTTCCAGCACGGTCCTTATGATGCGCAAGGTTCAAATGTGCACGGGAACGGGATCATAGGGTAATGGTTCTCGTGTGCTGCTTCCATACTCCGCGCGCACTATCCTCGAGATGTGCGCTCGCGTCGATATCAAGGTTCGCAGCGAAATACGCTTTTCGCAATAGAAAAGAATCAGAAATGGGAGGGCATAAGCAAGTGGGGCGTCTGTCTATTTAGTCGTGCGGCGTGTTGCGTACCTGTGACTTAAAATTAAAGCACAGATATCGTAGCTGTCGCCACCTTCTCTGCTGCGTACTTGAAATAGGCGAATATGGTACTCATGGACCCATCCACCTTGAACTCATGGACCCATCCACCTTGCTCATCAAAAGGATCAGTCAAGTGTACACTGTCTTCAAGTCTGGTCGCTCTTCTTCCGCCTTATTAGACCCATGCCGACGCCTTAGGTTACTTCACACTTCGCGACAGCGTCTACCTGCGACCAGTAGCGTCCACCGGCGACCGCTAGCGACCAACAGCGTCTCGAGCGCTAGGAAAGAGTAGGTCTCGATCTAGCGTCCGCTAGTGCCTGCCAGCGCGCACCAGTGTCTGCCAGCGCATCAGCGTCTGCCAGCGTCCGAGAGCGGAAAGGTGTAGCGGTAGGAGGGTAGTAGGCAGCTGGTAGAGTAGGGGAGATAGGAGGGTAGCAGATTGCTGTTAGAGTATGATGAAAGGGGGTACCAGCCTTTGCTGCCCTCCCCCTCGTACACTTCACCCCTGGACGCTGCTGGTCGGTAGGTCAATATTTAGACTTTCCTAATGGGACGGTCGCAAGGTTAGTGAGGAGGACGAGGACGCTGCCGCAGGGTGTAAACGCCACCTTGGCTCTCACATCTGCGGGTGTAAACCATTCATGCGATCGGTTGTTCAGATTCTCACCGCGGCTCTCGCTTTCCCGCTCCATCATGCTTTTCCATGTTGAATTGGTCCAGGATATGTGAAGTTCTTATACAGCAGTAATTTGAAAAATAGCGCTTTGTCTCGCCTTACTTTCTTCGATTAAATGGTCCGGGGTAGGCTCTTTCAACGTCAATCATCATCTACAGAAGGGAGCTCCGCTCAGGGTAAGGAATTTTTCCTCTTTTTTCACTGATAGGAGGATAGCACTCACCTTTATCCTTAGAACCCCACTACCTAGAACTTGCGAATCATAGCCCACTGATGGATACAAAAGTATTAGCTAAAAGAAATGCATAAAGTCTTTGCCATTAACCAATCCCTTTATGGGATGCGACAGGCATTCTACTTCTATACAGAATGGTGAGGGCTCATTGGATCCGTTTCTGGCCTATGCGATGAATGCAGGGCCAGCCGATGGACAAGTCGATGTTATCATCTTCTCAGAAGAATCTTGTACTAATTCTCTGCCTCCGAGTAGTAGAAGGCTTGGTTGGCTATTTTGAACTCCATGCAACCGCGTGTTAAGCCTGCCACTTGCCACTACACCCTTTCGGCCTTGAGTTACTTATGACTCAACTGGAATTTTTCCTAGCTTTTTTGGATATGCTTCGTTGGAAAATTAATGACCGCTTTCTGATTTTCAAGGCCCTCGAGCGAAAAAGCTGAAGCCGAAGGTGAACAAAGGGCTACGGTCACGTTGCAAAGCTTATGTTGCAAACTAATGCCTGGAACGTGGAACGAGAACATTTCAGAGTTGCTATACCCAGTATCTCAAGGTAAGCCCATCAATCTAGCCGTATTTAACGATATAACGAGGACCTATAACCACTTTTCTTGAGGGTAAGGTGATGAGGTAACGCTTTGTATTCCAATTACAACTGTAGCTTCTTTCATCGTTTCTTCATTATTTTTATAGCAAGCCACATGGACACGATCCGTGTCAGTGTAACCGCGTTGCCATTGTACTCCTAGGAAATGAGTGCTGAAAAAAGAGCCACGTTGGTGACACTGGTATTGCGCAGAGGGCGTGACCATCTGCGATGACAAGTAGTATAAAAGACGTTCAATAGTTCATCGACAACCTGTCAGCTCTTTCATCACAACGTCCCTGCCCATCCATTACCTGGAACCCAAAGAGTTTTAAGCTAATCTAAAGTCATATTCATGGATAGCGGACATCGTGTGGCAGCCTATCGGTTCGTCGCCTATGCGGCGGTCACATTTTCTGTGGTTGCTGTGATGTCCGTCTGTGTCACCCTTCCGATGGTTTACAACTACATCCACCATGTGAAACGATCAATGCGTCAAGAAATTGTTTTCTGTAAGGTACGGCTCCTTATAAATATTTGTAAGCTAGCCCTTTTAACTTTTTTAACACTTTAGGGCTCAGCTAAGGAGATCTGGGGCGAAGTAACGCATATGAGGAGTGTTTCCGCAGCAAACGGAACCACCATACGTCATACCAGAGGAATAGGCGGTGGTGGAGGTGGAGGTGGTGCATGTGACGCATGCTGTTTACCAGGTCCACCAGGACCTCGAGGTTCACCGGGTAGACCTGGCAGACCAGGTGCTCCTGGTGCACCTGGAATGCCAGGAGCTCCTGGACGCCCACCGGCTCAAGCATGTGAGCCCATCACTCCCCCGCCATGTCAGCCATGCCCACCAGGACCACCCGGACCACCAGGACCACTGGGACCGCCGGGATCACCTGGAGCACCTGGAGCCGCTGGCGCGGCAGCTGGTCCTGCACCACCAGGACCCCCTGGACTCAAAGGGCCACCTGGATTGCCTGGAAACCCTGGAGCGCCCGGTATGCCTGGAGCACCAGGAGAAAATGCCGTGGGAGGCCCTATTCTTCCAGGACAACCAGGTCCAATGGGACCACCTGGACCCATGGGACCGCCAGGGATGAACGGAAATCCTGGAGCACCTGGACAAATGGGTTAGTAGGTTTTTTCTTAAAATCCTACATTCGAAATAATAGCGTGTAAGTGCCACATTTCAGGACCACCCGGACCAAGAGGACCACCTGGTCCCAGCGGAATGCCTGGACCACCAGGACAACCAGGCCCACCGGGAATGGCTGGTGCACCTGGTCAAGCCGGTAACCGTGGTATCTGTCCGAAATATTGTGCTATTGACGGTGGAGTATTCTTCGAAGATGGGACACGTCGTCGTTGATGAAAGTTTGTCGTTTGGTGTGTTGTTAATAGAAATGGCGACTACTGTAGAGAAACTGGCGGCAGTCATGTACTTGAATAAAATTCAATTAATCATTTTTCCGGTGTTTACATTCAAAAGATTCCAGGTTTGAAAGTTGTTGTTGGACGGGACAAGGCGGCACCGATGACCCAACGTCGGCAAATACCGGTAATTTCGGAGAAAAAAATCGAGCAAAAACTAACTACTTGCGCTCATTAATCCATCTATGGCGAGGCCAACGACATGGCTGTCGGTGCTGTCCTTCAAAAGTACAACAAATACGAACTTTGTTGACATTTCAAGGGAAATGCCATCGCATTTTTCTGCTCCTTGCAGGAAGGGTTACGGAATTCCCGTTTTCAGTTAAAAAAACGTCTGCGATTGCTGGAAGGTTTGATGAGAGAAATGGATCTGAAGTTTGCGGGGAAAGGAAAAATGCCAGAGAAATTTCTCGGAGCATAGTTACAGTTCAAAAGCGAGTTACTGTTTTATTCGATATAAAACAATGGAACTTCTGGTAGTGATTGATTTGGCTGGGACACGCATCCCTTTGACTTCTATTGCAGGCCAGAGAGGTTCTTATCATCCATTTATTCAACATGATGTTTTACCTAGGGCCGATTGGACTTGGGGGGGGGGACGTTTCGCACTCATCACATCATTACTTCACAAGATTTCACAGTTCCCTAGGCACGGTATGCGATTAGGTACAGAAACTGAAAATATAGCGTCCGGAGGGTAAGGTGGCTCGCGACGAACAACCTTGTACCTGTTTCGCGGCAAGTTGTGAGGGGGGAGGGGCGCTATAGCGCAATATAGGTTCAGTGACGCCTCCTTTTTCCAGTGACTCCGCCTCCAGACTCCGCCCTCAAGGCCCGCCTTTCAGTGAAAAACGAAGCTGCAGGACGAAAAAGCATGAAAATCGTCACTTGTACGGTCGTAGAGTTCTTATCGGGGAATC